CAAAGCGCTTCACAGGATATTTTGTAAAGCGTATTTTGTGGGCGAAACCAAGCAGCCAATCTCGAACAGCAGTGTCCCACAAACGGTCATGGATTGAGTGACCCAATATTTTTTTGAGGGATTGCTTCCTCCGGAAAGCGATCCACCAATCGACTAACAACCGGGTTCCTACTAGAGTTGCGTGGAATAAGGAAACTTTTCTAACGTTTCGTCCCGCCTGGGAGTCAAACCCGAGTTCCTTTCACTTGCGAGGCGAGTGCACAAACCCTTACGCTATCGGACAGTAAATCCTCTGAAGCGCTTCAAGACATCCCCCTGATGTGAAAGGCTTGATACCAAATGCACAAATTATTATTATTATTATTAAGAACATAAGAAACACTAGATGGAAAAAAGACCAAGGTCCATCTAGTTCGCCTTCCACCTTCCTGGCGGTCGCACGCACATATGTCTCAAACTACCTATGCACTGTATCCCATAATGGTATTTCCTAAAAAAAAAACTCATCTAATCTGTGTTTGAAGGCATCAACACTTTGAATTATTATTATTAGTGATTACTAGCGATACAGCACATCTCTTAATGCGTTCACTTCACAGCATCAGAAGAGCTAGATTTTCAGGTCCTGACCAGAGGGCGTTGGCAAAAGGTCCACCAAACTGATGAAAGCAAATTTAAATCGTGAGAGAGATTCATTTGAAAATGTCCCATTTGATCTCACAGATTGTAGGATGCATTGGTTTGGGTTTTCAGTATTCTCAGGCCTTTCTATGGAGAAGCTGCAACATGACATGTGTAACAGCTCTGCTAGTTCATCTACATTCTTTACATTGTCCATTGAACACTGAAACGAACCAGCTATCGACAGCAGTCTGACTATTTTCTCTCTGTATGGATAGCAATGTTGCACTTCAAATGAGTCCTGGCACGAACTAGCCAACCAGGATGAGGTTCTATCGCTAGCATTAATTTGAAGGCAGAGCTGTGTAAATGGGGCACACATCACTCTGCTTCCCTGGAGCTTCTCTGTTGCCATAGAAATGACATTTACAGACACCTCCTCACTTGCCATATGCAGAATGGTACACAACTTGTGTGTGGAGCAACATACACACACACAGCGTTCCATCATTCAGTCTCTGAGTCTATCTAGTGTGTGCGTGTGCGCGAAAGAGAGAGATACACATACACAACACACAAAATGCATCCTCCGAGAAAGACTTTACACAACCACACCATCATCACTGGGGAAAATGAAAGTATATTTCAACAACAACGGCAACTTGCATTTATATAGCGCCCTTCACATGGGGCAGTGTCTCGGAGGACCTATTTCAGCATCAGACCACAGAGAGTTTAATTTCTAATTATCTGCCGATGTGTAACACCGGGTTAGGACTTTGAAAAGAGCTCTGTTGCTATTCTGGGAAAGGCTATGTGACCAACCACCAAGAATAGCTAAAGCTACTCTGAATATCTATTGGGTTGGCTGGAAGGTAATTTTACCCTCTTTGATGAATGATAAAACCAAACAGCATTGTCTGAATATAATGCACAGGTGAATATAGGCCAAACCTTTTGCACGTCCACAGCTACACAACTCAGCAATGTCGCTGGTACAATTCACTTTGACCAGGACACAATCTGTAAGCTCTATTTATGCTGTATTTAGAGAATACATGGATGGGCGTTGTCATTTTTAATCTATGTTATTTTTAATATATGTGCGTTTTCCCGATAGCCAAACACACCTTTCCAACTGCTACAACCAATATAACAAATGGGTCTTGTATCCGAGATATTGACTCATCATATCATTGAAACGTCTCAAAGAATTCACAAGATAATAATAATAATAATCCTTGCATTTGATATAGCGCCTTGTCATCGAGACGACTCAAAGCGCTTCACAGGATATATTGCAAAGTGAATCGACGGTTTATTTTGTGGGCAAAACGCAGCAGCCAATTGCGCACAGCAGTGTCCAATAAACAGTCGCGGACTGAGGGACCAAATTATTTCGCATCAAGTAAACCTGTACAGCAAATAGCCCTCTCTCTCAGCTCTTCAGCAAAAGTCATTTCTGTATACATCAACACCTACAAATGCGGTTTGGATGCTTTCTCCACTGTGACATTCCACAGCGTATCAGCGTCATGCATTTAGTGATCACGTGCTCACACTCACGCTGGCAGAACCCAGAGTGAAAATTGCATAGATAAAGGGAAAGATATTCCAACACTAGTTCCCGGAAGCACAAACCACTGCTGATCACAAAGCATACATGTCCCGACCCGATCACAGATAAAATTAAAAAGTAAAATTCTACCGGTGTAAACAGTGCAAACGTAAACACGTCTCAACGACGCAATAAGGAGCAATATCAAGTGCGAAGATTATTATTAAATGTGTATCTGCAGGATTTAGTGAGGAAGGCTGACCACCAAAATGTCAAATGCCACTTCACATACAGGTGCAGCCTGGCAAACATTGATTGATTAGCGTCTGCAATACAATATTGAAGCTTAGCAAGACAGATCAGCCGCTCGGGATCTGCTTTTCACAAGCCGGTCACCTGCACCGCTTCATTGTGTGACATCCTCAGAACACACTGGCGGTCTCCTGCGCGGTTCCCTTTCTCAGGCGTCGTGTATCATTTCGGTTTCAGCGTGTTACAATGCGACGTGCGACGTTGCTCAAAGCCAAATACAGCCCTACATCAGATTAAGCGATCAAACACGGAAGGTTAGACGGTGGCTACTCTGCTGTATTGCAAAATAACACGACTGTGTGGTTTAGAATAATAATCCTTACATTTTACTTAGCGCCTTATCACATCTTCGAGACGTCTCAAAGCGCTTCACAGAATACACTGTAAAGTGAATTGACTGTATATTTTGTGGGCGAAACGCGGCAGCCAATTACGCGCAGCAGCGTCCCACAAACAGCCGTGGGTTGAGTGACCAAACTATTATTGAAAAAAAATTGGAAGGGATTATTACCCCCGGAAAAGCGCCAATCGTCTAACAACGGGGTCCCTACTTTCTGCTGGGTAAACAGAGGGGTACGGAGTAAGGAGACTTGCCTAACATTTTGCCGTGCCTGGGAATCAAACCCAGATTCTCTCGCTTACGAGGTGAGTACTCTAACCAATACGCTGGAGGACTCCACTTTAGCACCGCCCATGGAACAATGAACATAAATATTTAATGTCAGAACATTTCTAAAGGGCAAAAATCAGAAGTTACCATGAGATCTCCCAATTATACAAGTGATGCCGTGCAAACTTTCCAAACAGATTTGGAACAAAGTGAGATGTTGTCCTTTCCCACGCAAACAAAATGGCCAAAAACCTTGCAGATCATAGACCCAGTATTGTTATTAGTTCAAGGACCTATTCTTCCTGGAACAGAACAATCCCGTTCACAATTCATCCATCAGCAAACCTACAAACAGTCAAATTGCTTCCATGTTCTGGGCACAGCCGAGGACACACAGCACAAGACCTTGTTGCTTTGTCTGGGATGGTAATCATGGACATCTAATGTCTTCCCTATTTTAGTCTCGCACCTATTAGACATTTCACGAATTAGCATTTAATCCTGAGACCAATGGGCGGACAACCTATGGCACCAAGAATCATAGTGATGCTCTGGCTTTTACATTCTCAGGACTTTTAAATGGCTTTTAAATGCCACCTGTGTTTAGATTCACTCTAATTTCTCAGCATTTCAGAGCAACCAGAACTTGGCAAATTCTGGAATACAGTTCTTAATTCTGAAGCCAGTTTTCGGACAAGTTCTTTTAAGAACAGAAAACAAGACTGAATTTAGCAATTGCGAATTGCTAACAAAATAGTAAATTCAGAGGTTCGCCCCTCCCACCCCCATGCAAAGATCAGTATGTAAATGCAAGTTGTTGTTGTTGATGCTTCGTAGACAGTGATCATAGAAGGTCCATCGATAGAGAATCATGAGTAAATCATCATCTTTGTTCCCCAGTATTTTGTGACCAATAGTTCTTTGAAGTCAACATAAGATGAAATGAGAATACAACAACAACTTGCATTTATCTAGTGCTTTCACACGGGGCAGGGTCTTGGAACGCTTTGCATCGCAGCCCTTAACCCCCTGACCACTTCGGTCAATAAATTTGCATCATTTTTGGAGAAAGTCTCTTTTGGTGTTTCTGCCTTCTTGCTGAACTCTTCCATTCCGAGCCAATGCACAACGGTGAGATTGCAGGAAAGTTCACATCACCATCCTCAGCACGAGGGGACAATCAACTAGGTTGTGGGAGTCAACAAGCACAGTCTATGACTAACTACACCAGGTAAACACCACCAAAATCTGGATTCGAAAATCATTTCACCATTAACAAGAACAACAACAACTTGCATTCATGTAGTGCCCCTCACATAGGGTAGCGTCCCAGAGAGGTTGACAGTGGCGGAGTACGGTCGAAGAGGAAGGTCTTCAGACGTGACCTGAAAATAGGGAAGGAGGGGGCAAGCGAAGGGATTGAGGGAGAGTGTTCCAGAGTTTCGGGGCTTCAAAGGCTTCTGTTGGACATGGTCAAAGTGCACGCTGCTTTCATGAATTAGAATGGACTCATCTGGACAACATTTCATTCCCTTCTACTCAACAGAAGCCCATACAGGAACATCCTTAATTGCTGGAAGTCTATTTAAAAGAATATATACACTGGCTATGGGACACGTCAGGGAATAAATCTTTAACAATGAAAGTACTTCCCTACAACAACCTTCTCGTTTAATCTCCCTAGTGTCAGAAAAGTAGCTCTTATGATGCACATTGAATGTGACATCTTCATGTGAAAACAGGTTTCTACAGTCGCTGTATTTTAATACAGCTGCAGCCAAAAAAAACCGTTTAATATTTAATGGCTGGCACATATCCAAAAGGGATTATCATATGCAAACGGAAGATTTGGTTTTGAAAATAATATCCCACGTAGGTGTCTTGTCGAGTGTCCCTTACCTGGTCGTGTGCAGTTCGTGACTTGCGTATCATTTTCTGTCTCTGCTGCCATTAACTTCCTATTCAACCACCTTAGGTCCAGTAAAGGTTTCTCCCCAGCATGTTTCTCGTGTTCTATATATGATATGGGGGAAAAAAAATACCATTTAGTGGTGGCTTCATGAAACCATCGAATTTTCCTTCCAGTTGGAGGAATTCTTTTATCGCATTTCTTTCAAACCTCTCCCGTAAACTTACTAAACATCTAAGGAGGGGAATTACAGTGCACACAAAGTTACCTGCTTCATCCAAAGCTCTTTGAACATGGCAATATCAGATGATTTATCAGCTTGTCTCAATGTAAGGTTGGATCATATACTGTAATTTATGCTTAGAGCGCATAAAACCCTACAAAAGATGGGATTTGGAACTGCAGGAGACAGAAATTTTACTTTGAAAAATATTCGGGGCTAAATCAAGCTCTTCCATTCCCAGGGGGGAAGAGAAGTTATGCATTTCCTTCAAGGCAAGGTACATCGAGGATGCTTTATTGCAGAGATAATTGCATCATATTAATATCATATTAAACTGTAACGGTCCGATCGATTTTTTTTGGAAATGAGCCCATTCATTTTTTTTTAAGATCCAAGCCGGCACTTGAGAGACAGGATGACAGAGAGATGCATAAAGCCCACAAAATTTGCTTTGCCAGTATATTCCGTGAAGCGCTTCGAGACATCTCGAAGACGTGACAAGGCGCTGTATCAAATGCAAGGAACATGATTATCATTACTATCGCATGCAGGTTTTACAACACATTGCCAGCAATTTTACACTGGTTTGTAAAACATTGCGAATTGCAGTTTTTTTTTAAGCAACATTCAAAGAGCAAAGCAAATTGAATCTGATCACAGGACTGTGGAAACAGCAAACTGCATTGAAGGGAAATGGGTAGACAAAGAGGACGAGAGAGGGAGAGGATGACACACACACACACAGAGAGAGAGAGATATATGGAGAGAGAATACTCACCTAATTTTGACAGAAGACTACACATACACCAGACCAGGAAGAGAATGCTGCAGGAAACTCCAATCTGATAAAGAAGCTGTTCTCTTCTTCTTGGAAGTTTAGTCATCTTGACCAGGCTTGACATTGCACTGTTTGGTCGCTTAGTACTTGAATCCATGAGCTTTGCTGGTGATCACTGTGCAATCTTAACAAAAATTAAAGAGAGGCAGAGAGAGGAGAGAGAGAGAGAGAGAGAGAGAGACTTTCTCTGCACACATCCACACACAGCACTCACTCAGTCACTCACTCACTCACTCACTCACACAGTGCCTGTAAACTCCAGCTCCAGCCCCCATCTCATCTCATTGCTTTGCATTTCACTGGCTTTATGTAAAAAAAAACCCAAGTGTTTGGATGAATTGACGCACTGATGTACCAATTGATCTCAATGCAAATAGAAAGCAAGAATCTTTTCCCCTTTCTCCCCCCCCTCTCTCTCTCTCTCTCTCTCCTCCCCTCCCACCCACACACACACACACACACACACAATAAAAAAATAACTAAGCCCTTGTCAATTTCAACAAACAAAAAAATTGCAACCCAAATTAGACTTGGCTAAGATAATGTCAATATCAGAAGCCAACTGATCACTCCCTCTCCTCCTCTCTCTGTTCTCTGCTTCAAAAAAAAACCCCTGAAGGTTGTATCTTTTTATATAATATACACACTGTATAATCTATATATAGAGAGAGAGAAAAAAGTAGCAATCGCTCCAAAATCTCACCAATTTAGGACCAAACCACACTCACACACGTTAAAAAGAGAATTAAGACAATGCAATCAGTTCCTTCTTAATAAAGACTATAAAATCATTCTATCTTTTGCAGCCACTGTCTGTCCTCAGGAGGGAGGGAGAGAGAGGGTGTGGATGGATGGATGGATAGATAGATGGATGGATGGATGGATAGATGGATAGATGTGTTCAAACAAGCTGTGTAGTCCCAGGTCCTGAGTGTCTGCAGTGTGTGCTGTGCAGCTGGTGGTGTGTGACTGGACAGAGGTTACTGTGCAGCCTTATGGTGTTGAGTTTGGAAGCTGAACATTTTTCCTCTCTCTCTCTCTCTCTTTCTTTCTTTCTTTCTCTCTCTCTGTAACTTTCTCTTAACACCAGCCTGAGCTCAGTCATGTGCGGGCACGTGATACTCCAAGAGGCTGATCTCTGGTGGCTTTATTAGAGGGGAAGAATTAATCTGCATTTCCCCTCCCTCCCTCCCTCCCTCCTTTCCTAATAGATATATATATATATGTAAAACAGAAGAAATTATCCTATCTTTGCCCTATTTTTCGCTGCAGATTTGCGGGCCAGCTTTGCTGCTTTGAATTACAAATGTACCTGTGCAATGGTGAGAACACAATCCCTCCCCCACGAGGCTGATCTTGGCTCAGGGTTTTGGTGTGGGCGGTCTGAGGAAAGCTGTGTTACCGCACCTTGTTAATAAAGAATCTCTAAAGGAGATTTTTTGGGGGAAACGCAAGAGGTTGCCGTGTTTCGACCATAAATACATAGTGAATCCACTTTACAGTATATTCTGTGCAGCGTTTTGAGACGTCTCGACGACCTGATAAGGCGATATATCAAATGCAAGGATTATTATTATTATCTAGGCACACAACACAAGGCAAAAAAAAGGATCCGTCTTTAAGACCCTTTTGTACTGCGTTGTTGAGTGCCTTAAGAACGAATTTCAGCTGTTCAAATTTTGTTTAGTTATCTGGGTGAGGATTTTACACTGTTAACTCGCAGTCTGAGAACTGTGTGTTATGAGCAAAGTCTCTGCCTGCGGTGCTTGGGAGTAATTTGAAAGTCTGCTGAAAAAGAGTTTTGTTTGACTGACTGACTGACTGACTGACGGACCGAGCTGACGGGGCAAAAAAAAGTAGCATCTGTGGATTTATTCGGGCAGAAAGAACTCGCAGATGCACAAAGCAGCAGAAAACAAACCAACTCACTGATGCTGATCTGAACTGGTGCTGCTGGGGATGGTGTGGTACTCACGTGAGCTCACGTCTAAAACACGGTGTACAATGGTCCAAATGTACATTGCTGCGCTGGGGACTGGACTCCCTTGGCAGAGGTGGTTGGACGCGGGAAAAATTGTGCGTCAGCTGCAGTGTTAACGCAGCCTGGATGAAGTCCTCACCATAGAAAGGTTGTTTAAAGTGTGTAAAAAAAAGGCCCAATGCAAGACTGTTCCATCCCACAGTCCCTTCACCTCGCTCCCTCCCTTGCCTCCTTCAAGGCACATCACAAGACCCTACTCTTCGACGCGCCTTTAGCCGCCCTCCTACCACTAACCCCTATGTGGAGTCCTGTAGCTCAGTGGTTAGAGCACTCGCTTTGCAAGCGAGAGACCTGAGTTCAATTCCAGGCAGAGGGCGAAACCTTGGGCAAGTTTCCTTACTCCACACAGAGCCTAATAATAATCCCTCCAAAAAAAACCCAAAAACAATAATTAAATTGGTCATTTTCAATCTACGACTGTTTGTGGGACATTGCTGTGCGCAATTGGCTGCCGCGTTCGCCCACAAATATACAGTCAATTCACTTTACAGTGTGTTCTGTGAAGCGCTTTGGGACGTCCTCCTGACGTGAAAAGCGCTATATCAAATGCAAGGATTATTATTATTATATTATTACTATTATCCACTCTGTCCTCCACCCGGGCTGATCCCAACCCCCAGCTCGGGTGCAGATCCCTGATTGTCCAGGGCCTTGGGAGGACCTCCCGAGAACATGAATATAAACGTAAATTGTTATTGTTTGTTTTCTAAGAACTGAAAAGTGGAGGCCCTCGTGCCCGAGGTGAAGCTGTATCTCAGTGGCTTCACGTAACACAAATACAAAGGACTCTGTGACAATAGCAGCTGGATAATTAGAGAATAACATCCAACTCATCCCAACCGCGAGACAGTTTAAGAGATCATGACAGATTTCTCAATCTTATTCCACCACACACTTAATTACCAAGTCATTATCTTTCTCTCAACCTCCTCTATGACCTTCTGAATGGGTTGATTCCACATCAGCCCAGACTTGCAGGGTTAACAGGAGCTAACAGAGTTAATAGCCCATTAACTGGTTATGCCCTGAATGCCTCACACCCAAATTACATTAACTATGTAAATACGAGAGGTTAGATAAATAAAAAGGAACAACATTAATTAAAGAGACTGATTAAAATCAGTCTCCAAATCCGACAACAGGATATCGGGGTTGATGGTGTAAGGCAATGTGTCTTTGAGAGCTAATCTGGTGATGGATTCATGTCATGGTGACATTCCTATATTACTCTCTTGGTGCCAGGCAAAATTTCAACATTTACCATGACACAGAAGCCATTACTCTGAACACAAAGGAGTGCAGAGTCACAAGGGTCAATAGCTGACTGACAGTTGGCAAAATGAATATCATCAACCCCGATATCCTTTTAAAATGTAATTTTATTGCATTTTAAGGCACATTCAGAACCCTAACCAAGAGTATCATAGTATAAATTACCCCTTTCAGTCACTTCAGAATTGCCTACTGACATGCAATGCTTGCAATTGCGCATTCAAATACGTTTCATGGCTCTATACTGCAGCACCACAAGGTGAATGCCTCTTTTGCCTTTAACGTTGATTTAATGCACAACTTTGATCATTTGAATCCCCACTAACTTTGGTTCTTCGCTCGTACCAAGCTGAGCAATCAGATGGATTGCTTGTAATCACATCTTCCTGTTAACCTAGATTTCTCTGCCTTGACGGGAATATTTTTTTCTCTCTCTCCTTATCTTGGTAATTCATTTTCAGATGCGGACCTTGCAGGTGTGGGCTGGAGAGGGATACGTGTTGTTATATAACTGGGGGAACAAAGATAGCCCAAACAGCTACTATCTTGTGTCAAACAGAAGCTTGGAGCACATCCATAAAAGGAGCCTTGTAAATGAGCATCATGTGAACATTTGCATCAGCTACGTAACATAGCTTAAGATAGTACAGATAAGGAAATACACACACTATTCATTGCATTCTAAAATTGAATAAGCTCTTAAAGACAGTTTAATGAAAAGGTTCCCATAATCTGCATTCGGAGATTAGTAGTGAACTACAGTATTGCCTGTATGGGGCACAGTAACCCACCACGTCGGAGACAACTGGGTCTCAGGGTGGGCAAGACATTGTGATAGAATCACAGACCCCTTTTGCCAATTAAGATCACTACCACAAAAAACAAAGTGAGAAGCTTTAAATGCAGAGTGTTAGGACATGGAAGTGCCTAACCAACAGCAACAGTGGTGGAAGCAGAATGCCACAATAGCTTTTAAACAGGGATTTAGGTTAATACTGTATTCGGAAAAGAAAAATAAACAAGTCACAGGAAAGTGCAAGGGGGCAGCGGGAGAAATAGATAGTTCTTCCGCATCGTTTCTGCACAGGAACAATAGGCCAAATCGACTTTATTTTGCCATAACATTCTATAACTGAAAGGGTCATAAATAAGGGCAGGAGCACATGAGCTAAGTTCTAGGAACTATTAATGAGGTTCAGAGGACTGGTCGTTGGAAGAGAACAAGTTTACTTACCATAATATCCAGCCCAGGTTAGAATAATAATAATAATCCTCGCATTTGATATAGTGCCTTATCTTGTCTTCGAGACATCTCAAAGCGCTTCACAGAATATACTGGAAAGTGAATTGACCGTATATCTTCCGGGCGAAATGTAGAATGTAGCGTAATAATAGCACTGGGGCTGGAAGATGGAACCTTTCATCAAAATAGTCTAGGGACAAAGTGCCTTCCAGCAAAAAGGAAACCGGTCAGCATCCCGGGAATGTACAGAGAAGGGCCCAATTTTCAAATCACAAGCGCTTACTGGCAGCAGCAACTGCAGAGCTTGTCAAATGCTCAGCACAGAAGCTGTAGCCCGGCCTTTCACAGAACACTACAAACATTTAGAGAGAAAAAGATAATTTGGTCACTCAATCCACGACTGTTTGTGGGCCACTATTGTGTGCAATTGGCTGCCACGTTTTACCCCCAAAATGTAGTCATGTCACTTTACAGTATATTCTGTGAAGCGCTTTGAGTCGTATCGAAGATGCAAGGATTATGATTATTAACATTTTTTTTTGCAAGCCTACACCCAAACAATTCTTTCACTCATTTTCAAAATCTTTCT